GTGGGTATTATCATCGCCTAATATACATCCAAATTTTTTTTTGAATAATCTTATGTTATGTAAAATGAATGTGTTTCTGTTGCACTATTACAGCTGCATCATTAATATGGAATTTGTACTAATAAGAAATTAATAATAATTACTTATATAGAAATAAAAAAATACTAAAACTTACTTGGTGTATTCCCAATATGTCTTTCAATATTCAAGAAGTTTATCCCTACAAGGTACTTTGTTTGTTTTCTTGGTCTATACTTACGCTACTGTGATGCAAGCTTCTCTAACCACCTGTGATCTGAGATCTTTAGCAGATAATTTAAATGCTCCATCCAGTAGTCGTAAATGCTGGAAAAACCCATCATATTGTGCAGCTCCAGCGACAAGTAATGACCGGACCTTCTTAAGCTGAGGTGGCAGAAGAGTGAATCAGAATATTAGCATTTCTAGATGCAAGTGTATATGCTATAATGAATTATGTAATCTTTAAAATATATAAAATAATAATAAAAAAATAGATATACCGCATTGGTGCGCTGATCCCAATCATGTTTATCATCTGATAAGATTTCCCTGATTTTATTTAGTGTTTCTTCAAGTTCACGACTAGAATAGATCTGAAAAGGAAATTTCAAATCAGATTATGGCTATATTTTGCGCAATAAATAATGGAAATTAATTAAGCAACAAGGCTAAAACTCTCTTCTATAGTTAGTGCTGCACTTGTGACTTCTGCCTTGCAGGATGGCATGCTAATTTGACTGAAATGCCAGGTGTGCCATTCCTACATTTCCATGAAATCTCTTGGTATGAAGAACAGTACAATGATCAGCAAAGATAAATTATTAATAATTTTGATAATCTCCTCTCTATGGATCAATCAATATAAAATTCAATTTCCTAACTGAAAGGAAGCTATAGAAAATCTGGCTTTGTGGTACAGCACACAGATTGTAAGAAGGATACATAGATATTAATAAGAAAACATAACGAAGTGGCTCATATTTTCAGCAATGAACATACATTGAAATGAGTACTGATGGAAAGGTAATAATTCAATTTCACTAAATACCCAAGTATCAAACTGGAGAGGTCTGAAAGTACAACATAAAAATGTGAAATCCACAAAATATATTGGGATGCTGATGAATTACTTAACAGAAACAATTGTGAAAAGTCAACAGAAACAGTTGTGATAAAAATGCTGACTATCATAACCTTATATATCGGTATAAAAACCAACTTGCTTCTATTGCAGCAGCCAAGAGAGGGCAACCTAATACCACAAGAGCTTATATTAACATAGGAAAATAAATTTTTAAAGAATATTTTAATTATTAGACATTATAAAAATGTGATTTTTGGAAAGTTCTTTAAATATCATATAACCATTTTCACATTCACAGTAAAATAGAATTTTATAGATGACGATAGACATGTTACTTTTGAAATTATATGAGGGAAAGATTCCAATTCAGGCTAATATTACCTGTCTGAATTTCTCTAAATTATATAATGAATGTTCACATTTTGGTTTAAGAGAAAAGAACTGGAAGATCAAGCCCAGGGGGAAAAAAAATCTGTGAACTAATAAATTCCAGAGGAGTTCCGCTGAGACCTAACCTGAACAATGCAATTAATGTTGGTGAACTGGATGAACGCCCCCTCCCCAATCCTAAAGAGAGAGGCTTCTGAATGTGCAGGCTATGAGATACAGTGCTCAGTTTTGCAGGATCAATGACTCCTCTGCAATCTTGTAAATTAGCTGTTGAGTCACAGTGGGGAGCTACTTCTAGTCTTAGCATTTAACTAGATTTCCAGAGCTGAAAACAACTGAAGCTGTTGCTCTGTTGTTCATCCTCACCTGCCAGCTCACTGGGAATTCTTAGAACTTCCATAGCCTGATTGCAGTGAATAGCCAGAATTAGTCCAAAGAAAAGTCTTCAGGCCTGTTTGGATGTCTCTGGCCTGGAAATGGGATTTCTTCTCATGCTTATATTTTATTGCTAGTTTTAAACCACAAAATGTGATAAATGATAGCGTAATATCTGATTTCAGACAAGTATTATCATGTTTTTCAAAATCAAGAGGGACCCATCATTTCTGCTTTGCTTTTGTAGCCAAAGCAGCTTTCAGACACTTGTCACCTCCCCATGAGGTCAGATAAGTGACCTGCTCCTAATTCCAGTTTTAAATTTAAAGTTCAAAAGAGCTGCACTCCTGACTCCAATTTTAAAATTTAAATTCAAAAGAGCTGTAGAAATATTTGGGACTTGGTCCTATTCTACTGAAGTGTACCAAGCTTTTCAGCAACAGAGTGGATAAATAACCCTCATTCTTTTCTTGAACTAAAAAACTGTGGAAGGAGCAGGGATCTTCCCCCAACTTTGCAGCTCAACAGGCTTTTTTTTCTTTTTGAAGCGGGGGAATGCTTCTAATACATATGTTAAAAATACAATATGTAACATTTCCTGTATATAAACAGGCTTTCTGTTATTAAGTACATCATGGTGGTGAAAGTAATAAAGTGAGGACTGTTTGCAGCAACCTTATACATGAATATGCTGGGTCTGCTTTATTACCTTGTCTCAAACTTCACGGCCCAAATTTTTCTTTTGGCAATGAACTGCAAGTTTGGATATATCTGATCGAGGATGAAGGATTCAGAAAAGATTCAAAGAAACAGATTTTAAAAAAAATACTAGCTGAGCAGCTTTACAATAAATGTGGGTGTGTGCTGTCACAGCACTTGCACTAACATAAATGATGGTATCGACTGAATTTGTAGCGTAACTCACATTTTTGTGCTCTGGATACTTTGTGTGATAAATGAAATAATGATATAGAATTCTGGTTCTGGTGCTAAGCTCATGCTGTGTGAATCAACCACTGGAATTGGCATGGTTAATGGCTTAATGTGTCATTTTATCTTATTGAACACACTGTGCTTAAGGAAATTATGGCTTAGCCATGCCCAATCTGTATATATTAGATCCCCCAAATGGTTGCAAGCAGAATCAGCAAGTTTTTGGCAACACCATATTTATGGAGCCAATGCCAGTATAGGAAGGCAGGATAGCATAGAGGGGATATTCTTTAATTTATTCCAAGAATACTTTGTCCTCAGATGTTTTTTTTAAGAGTTTTTTCTAAATGGGAAGATTTTGCACATGCTCAGAGGCATTCAGCCATAGATATCAGAATGTTAACTAACAAAAAGTTGACATAGGTCACAACTGCCAATATTTAAAATGAAAAGCAAAGTTGCTTTATTATTAATTATTTATATATCAAATTTGTCACCACCCATCTCATTAAAAAATGACTGGGCAGTTTACAGAAAAGATAAATATTAATTAAAATACAATAAAGCAATAGTCCTAAATAAATAATAAGTACATTCCAAGGATTGATGGTAACTAGAGAGTATTAGGCTTGGGGAGTGTGATCAGGGTGCCAGTCACCCTCAGAGTTGGTTAAAATTCTTCTTGCCCCACACAAGCTGGCAGAGCCAGGTCTTTAGTTCTTTCCAGAAAGCTGGACGAAAAGGCCTTGCCATACTTCGGGGTAGAATACTCCAGGGGGCAGGAACAACTCCTCCTGGGCCCCACCAGCTGACATTCTCTCACTGATGGGGTCTGTAACATGCCTTTTGCACATCCAAAATGGAACTGACTCCATTTAAGTTGAAGAGGTGAACTAAAGTGCACACCCCGGAAAATCTGCAAACCCACTACAAGTGCTAATCAATCTGAGTTGGAAGATCTGTAATTTTAAAAATCTAGTATAAGCATTTAGCATTAAATCCAACCCGCAGTTCATTTATTCAAAAAAATTTAGCACATACTTCCTCAAAAAATGCAAGTCCTTTATGCTTAATTTTTCAAGAAAGAACTTTCCAAGAAATAAATTCCAAGTCTTATTATATGTATGTTTATTTGCTTTTTTAAAGTATTATTACCACTGAATATTTTATAGCTAGAAGGCAAGTTTTGCAGTGGTCATCAGTTGGCAAAACCTGGAGCTACCTAAATAAAAGCACTTTAAATTCAAACCTGAATGACAGCATTTTACCTGTACAGTAGGAACATCTGTAAATGCTTTTATAAAATCATCTTCATCAACAGCACCAGCTCCTCCTTCCTTGGTAGTACCTGCAGGCAATAAAAATTTGTCATAGCCAAGTTTTTAAATGATGTTCAGCTGAAAAAGAGGAATCACACCAATCAAGCTACAATAGTTTGTGGGATTTAAGGTGGTTAAAAATGTTACATTGGATACAGGATATTTTTTAGTATTTACAAGAATAAGTTGAATTTTTCATGAAATTTTTCTTTGTCACGGCAGTATGTTTTGCACCAAGAAAAACTAAATGTTGTGTCCATACATCATTTAGGAAATTTGCATAATTTATTATGTTTCTGTTACCCATGGATGGCAGGAACAACAATGACTATGGAATGTTCATGCTTAGATATGAAAGGAACCACACCACAAAGGAAAGCATCTGTAGCCATAAGGAATAAAAAAGCTATCATGAAATTAAAACCAATGTTTTTAACATAATGCAAAATAGATAGAAATATCCTATAAAAGTCAAAGCAATCTCAGAGCATATTACATGGTGCAAATTTCAGTCGTTCACAAGAGGTCAATGAAATGAACAGGAGTCCTCAGTTTAAGAACAAGTTCCATTCCCAAGGTCTGTCCTTAAGTCAATTTTGTGTAAGCCAGAACAGTATTATTGTATAATACTGTATAAGTAGTATTGTGTAATTAACTCGAACCATTGCATATTTAACTCGAATTTTGCTACAACAAGCTCCTTTCTTAACTATGGGTTACCCGTAAGCCAGGTGTTCTTAACCCAGGGACTACCTGTACAACAGTGTAATTAGGGTGAAACTGAGGGATACCAAACAGAAATATTTTTTCAAAGTCCAAATATTTAGCAAATTGAACAGCAATAGGTACAGAAAGCTGTGGCTAAATGTTCATATAGGTACTGGAAAAGTAGGATAGCAAAACTCTAGCTTACTGATGATAACCAATGTGCTTGACTTCTCCTTAGGGCAATAATAGTTCAGAGAATCATAGAATAATAGGGTTGGAAGGGACCTTGGAGGTCTTATAGACCAACCCTCTGCCCAAGGCAGGAGTCCTCATACCATCTCAGACAAATGGTTGCACTAGCCAGAAGTTTCCCAGAGTGTAAAAGCTTTGTGTTACTTCCAAACGCAGAGTCTAGGTTTGCCTCTTCTCGAACAAATCAAAATCTGAAGCTGGATTACATGTCTAGGCTTTAGTGAAGAGTGAGCTGGATTCAGACACTATATGTTTTCTATCCTAGCAATTTTTGGTGAGCAATAATGTAGATTTATTCTAGTGTAGATTTTGTGTGACCATAGCATATTAGTAGCTGCTAATTATTAAATATCTATTTAATAATTTGAAAGTCTGTTTTCTCTGAGGCCCAATGTACTGTATTAAAAACCAAACATAATACCATTAACTTGGCCTTAAACTCTTTTCCATGGAATCATTATACTCTTACTTGTAATATCAACAAAAAGCTCCATAAAAGAAAAACAGAAGTAATAGTGTGTGTGTGTGTGTGAGGGAGGGACAGGGGGAGGGAGAGAGAGAGAGAGAGAAAGAAACACAGCTACCAGTTGCTGCAGCAATGGCCACAAGGGAATATTAAGTCTGTTTAAGTGATGTAGTTTACAGGAACACTATATTCATATGATACACCATTCATGTGAAATGAAGGTGATGTCTGATTGGACCTTCATGAATCAAGTGTGTACCATAGAAAATGCTTTTCTCAATTTTTTTTTCTCAATAGTTATGGCAACTAACTATTCTAGAATTTTTTTTGTTAAACAAGCTTATTTGCAAACCTTCTTGAAAATACATGTTTTAGCAGTTACATTTATGTACAGTCCACTTGCTCTTTTAAAGCCACTAAAACATATTTCAAGTGTGAAATCTGGTACACACCATGAAGCACAAAAAGTATTGATAAAAAAACAGTGTAACCCTCTAGGTACATACTTAAATATCTGAAAGGCTTTCATATAAAAGATCAAGCAATTAATACATGCATTACTCTCAAAATTAATGTTCAACTTAAGAAGGCAAAGACGTAAATAAAATATAAAATATTCACTAAATCTTGTTAAATGTCAGCCATTTCCCTCTGAGAAAGAAAAGAAGTAAGGTAGACAGAGGGACAAATAGGCATGGGACTATTTTAAGGGGCCACAGATATTCTGACTCTTGTGGGTGCTATCTTGCCAGTCCTGTCATAGAGCTACCAAATGACTGAGGAAAAAACGTATTGCCTGGTCATGCTCCTTTATCAACATAGAGGCATTAGATGATAAAGCTTTTCAGAGCTTATTCTAGAACAATTCTACATGTATTCTTCACAGATTATAAAGCTGACCAAAAACAATACAAATATTTTTGGATTGTTAATTTGACCAATTAAGACAGCATTTGACATATTAGGTGAAGTTGCACTGAGGTGCTCTAGACTGCTATAAATAAAGACAGAATATTCCTGTTTGTGTTTAAATGAACTTTTGAAATATCAAAATAAAAGAAAGCTATTCTGCATTGTAAAGATCTCAGAAAACATCCATCCCTCCATCTAAAGACACACACACACACACACACACACACACACAAATAAAAACCTCTGAATCTCTTTGGTACTCCTAGATTTTAGTTAGAAAAAAACAGCAACTTCTCAAACAGCATATAGCCTTACCCAATGCTTTAAACCTTCCTTTCATGCATCTTTTTTTGAAGCTTTTGTTTAGCACCAACTGATATAAAATTAGGTCACCAATGTCCTATTATCCTTATTTTTCTCTTATTATGTTTTGTTCCTCCCTGATAAATTAGAAGATAAGTTTCTCAGCACAGTGACTTTTGTAGTTTAATCTTCTCTGTAAAGCACAAAGCATGCTGAGGGTAAATTATTAATAACAGTTCTCCTTGCACCTTATAAAATTTTTAGATTGTTATTAACCTAGATTTCTTTTATTTATTTTTTTCTCTGGAGATTACTAACACTTCAAAAAGCATCTCAAATAGTCTAAATGGCAGAAATTGACATATGGATATAATGACTAACCTGACATTTTTATTAAGTTTGTGGATTCTTAAATATATCTCATCTTAGTATAGTCTTTGATATTTTTAAGTAAACTGGGATATAATCTTAACTTTCAACAATTGTTTCATGTGACATGGATGCTATTGCTTGAGGAACAGCACACAGAACAAGCTGTTTTAGAAACACTGTCATTTTCAGTGATATACATAGCAGTAAAATGCACTTATAATTTAAAATAACAAAAATATTTGTCACCTAATGCACTAGAGGACATGTGGTGACAAGACATTTTTGCAGCCCAGTTTCTAAAAGCTGGAAAGTCCTCAGTTCAACCCTCTTAAACAAAGTTCTATTTCTCAGCATACCTTCTGCAAAATGAAGATAATACTAGCCAACCTCATAAAGTCACCACAAGATAATTTAAAAATTATACTAACAAGATAATTATAAAGAATATACTAACACACTCCACATTTGAAAGGCACTAACAGAAATGCTATTGTTCTTACTGTGCAATCTTTATTTGTATTTTACCATCACCAAAATAGATAGATGACAGAACTAGGAATAGTATAACTAGGAAGCATACTTTGCAACTATAGGCATGATAGCTAAGTTAAAGGAAAGTAATTCAATGTTTAAAGATATTGTTATCTTTAGACAATGTTTAAAGATAGTTACACATGAAAATCCTAAGTTTAGATGTCCCAGAACTCTTTCACTGGTGAACTGGAAGAATGGAAATTCCATCTTCTTCTAATAAGGCCAGAAAATCTGCACTTGAGAATCAGGGAATTCCCTGGAACAGATTTGAGTGAGGTTGGAGGACAGATAAGACAGATCTCCACTCTTGCATATGAGTAGGGGTCTCCTCATGAAATGGACTGCAGCCCTTATCTTTTGACTAAAAATAGCAGATGCTGGGGAAAAAAAAAATCCTGTTGCTTTACTAAAAACTCTTAGGAACTCACATAACTTATTACACACTTAGCAAGAAACACTCATCATCAAAACAATGCTTAATAGTTTAGCTAAAAATAAATTTAAGATGCACAATACATTCTAAAGACAGTGTAAATTCAACCTATTTAGTCACTATACTGTTAGAATATATAAAGTGTTTATTCTCTGACAAAATTCAGAAAAATTTTAATAAGAATGTTTAGGAAAAATGATTTTCTGATGCTGTCTCAAAAATACAGATGTGGGAATTCAATCTAATTACTATAATCTTCCTTACACAAATATCACTCAGCTCCTATATTCAATTTCCTATGAGTTGATTCAGTTGTCCATCTTTTCTTAAAATTGTAATTAATCATGAGACTTCTGTATGAGTTTATAGATGGCAATTTCAGGTCATACCAATAAAGTAGTTGATAATGAAATTAAGCTCAGTAAATGTTTCTCAGCAAAAAAAATCTGTTTTCATATACATACTTTAAAGCATATATTTTGTTTACTTAGGGGCTCTGAATCCACAAAGACATGGGCAAAGTTTTAGAGATAATTTCATAATTTTTGCAACATTAGAACTTCTTGTGATCTCTACACTACTAATATTTCTCATTAGTAATTCTTCAGGGAAAAAGAATGTATTTTTTCCTGCAGATAACAGGAAAAAGTTAATTATGTCATAGATAATGCAGATAAATTTTTCAGTGATAAAACGTTCACAACTTTACTAAGAAATTACCAACTAGCTGGTGATGATGGAAATTGTAATCCAACACATCTAGAGGAAGCTTGGGTGGAAAAGGCTGTTTCAAGGATTTGATTTTGTCATCAGATATAGTTCATTCCAAAAATATATATTTAAACCTAAATTGCGAAGAGTAGCAAAATATATGTACAATATAAAGAATATGCCAAACACTTGCACTGCCTTCTCTAACATATAGCCAAATTTAGGGACATTCCATAATGTTGCATCCAGCACATACCTGTTGCAACCTTATACAAGGAAGCTTATATTTTGGGTTTACTAGGTAGATTAATAGAAGCTGAGATACAGATACTCATACATTTATATGAACAATGCATTACCATACACTTTTTTTTAAACTTTATTTTAAAATGCTGCCTGATTTACCCAGAAAGCATTATGAGCAATATCCTACTCAAATGATGATGCAACTTCATAAACTATTAAAAACCATACTGAAAAAGGAAACTGGATGAGAGATGGGTTACTGTATCCTAAATGTACATTCAGTATCATCTGTGAGTTTTACATCTGAGATTCCTTTTATGATTCAAGTTTTGCTTTTGTGGGTCAAATAAATCACCTTGGAAATGGAAATGTTTCTTATTTTTATCAAGTTCTTCCATTTTCAACTATTTCAAAAGAACAAAAATAAACATCTGCAACTCATAATTCATTGAAACATGAAAACATTTTTTAAAAAAAACTTGTTTATGATCAACATCTCTACATCTATGCCAGATTTAATATAGTCAGTTCTGTAGTTCACTCCCTTTCCTTGATATATTATTAGGGGAGATTATTTCGCTTATTTTGAAGTTTTTCTATACATGGGAGTGTCAGTGTTTATTAATTGCATAACATATAATTTTGAAAATAACAGCAATTAACATTGTGTGCTTTTCTCACCAATCACCAAAAATAGGATGACAAATGCATTCCATTTTAAAAAAATGTTAAATTAGTAATTTATATTATGGAACATTTATATAAAGGCACATCATTTAATCTAAAGAACTGAGTTTGTGAAGGTGTTTCACACTTTCCTGACCTGCAAAAATACTGCAGTTATGAATGAAACATTATCATTTAAAGCTCTTCAATATCATTCTCATTTAGTCAAAATAAAGCATCGTGAAGTCTGAATTGTTTATCCTTACCTGCAACCTTAGGCCCACCAGCAGATCCCGGCTTTCTTGTTGTATTCGAAGGATTTCCAGGTTTTTTAGGTGCAGGAACCTTGAAACCTGAAGCAGTTGCAGATGGCCTATTTCCATCCACTGATTCTTCATCATCAAAGCTTTTATCTATAAAGGTGTTTTTAAAGAAAAACATGCATTATAGCCCCACATTCTTTTGTTTTTTAAGCAAATATTTGCAGCTGTAGCATTCACTGTAAGTAACAAAAATCAAATAAAATGAAATGTTTTTCTTCATGGCTACAAGTAATAAAGAAATAATGCAATTTCATTTCATATAATGGGCTCACAAATGATGCTATTTATAATTTTAAAGTTTAATCTTTGGCAGCTAAGGAAAAAATCCATCAGGCATATATTTCCTGTTCACTTACAATTTGTAGTTCCAACTAAATCTTTACATTCTCAATTTAATCCAGCATTTCTGTAAGAAAAACCCTGCTTTTCTACTACTCATACTTGCCATTTCTGCTACACATCCTCCCACAATGTGTCTACTAACACTCCCTGCTTCATTCCTTCCACCCTGTTTTTAACACTTACAATCACAGATTCGTTTACAGATCAGCCGCCTCATTCCTTTGACAGCTCTCAACGGCCCTTGCACTAAGATGTTTCCCCTTGCTCACATGGCCGTACAGTTGAATAATCTCAATATTAATCAAAATATTCCATATAAAACTGGGAGAAAACACCATAGATTCACCACAGAGATTTGAGCCGGCATCCTTCTGTCTCTTCCCTGCACTAGGTACTGAAGCAGCCAATCGGCTGCAAGGTGACATCATCTGCTGGTAGCCACTGCTAGATGAAAAGGTGAAAAATTCTTCACACATATAAACTCATTCCCACGCACAAACATTTGCATACCCTATTCTGTGATATCTGAACAGGGCATAATTTTCTTAAAAGGTTTTTATTCCTAAAAATTCAAATATATCATCTGGCTTGTAAAATTTCTTTTCAGTTTGTACGATGTTTGCTTTTGTTATTTATTGCAAATTACATCCCTGTTCTAATGCTAAAAACTTAGCATTCCACATATCAAGTGTGAACATTTCACCATCCAATTAAGGAAAATACTATTTTTGGTAGGACCCTAAATGAAATGAAAAATCAACCTGTAGTTTCTCATCACAGGCAAGATGGGCGAGGCTGATCAAGAACTGTGTAAAGACACACACGCACACACACACAGACCTTCTTTCCCTGAAACCATTTTCAGTTATGGCTTTTACCCTGTTAGGTACTCCTCTAATTCCCATATGCTTCATCCTAAAAAGATTCTACATCTTTCTAGAATAAAACTACATTTCTATGACGTTTGGTAAAATGTGTTTTAAAACTGTGACTTTAGATTCAGAAAGGAATGTTTAGGTAACACTGCTGAAAAAATGTTTTGAAAAATATTGACTTGTACCATTATTAATTCTGTATCTCTAAACCACATTCACACTGTTATGAGACTTCATATCAATTTTTAATGTGTATCCAAAAATGTCAAAAGTGTTTCCTTCAAACAATCATTACATGGTATATAGCTCTAAGCATTTTGCATGCAGGAGTATGTTACTATCAGAATGCAAGAGGAAGACAGGAAACACATTATTCTACGAGTCACCATGGTAACTGTGCTCTGCCCTTGCACATGTATTGGAAGGCAACATTTCAGATCACTTTAACCCTTAAAACATAGGAATTCAGCAGAATGCCCTACTCTTTTAAGCATAGTGAAATGAAAAGTAAAAATATATTGAAGATAATATTGAACGATAATGGTTGCCCCCACGGTTCTATGTAATTAGATTATAGCTTCTCAAGAAATTGTTTAAAAAACTCACTAGAAAAGATGTATATGCAGAAATCATGAGAGGCATTAAGGTTTTCAAGATACAAGAGGCACCTAGCTGGTTGACCTTAGCATAAAATTAATCACCAAAAGTTATGGTCAATATTTGTGTTACTTGTCTATAATTAATAAATAGGTTTGGATTCAAACTCTGCTTCTAGTGCATAGTACAAATTCTTTCAGGAGTCTGTAAAACAAAACAAAAAGAAAAAAGAAAAAAGAAAAAAAGAGGAGAACAGAGATACTTCATAGATTCCCAAGTTTTTAAATTTCTCTTTTGGGGAACTGAGGAACAGCGGAGAACAGCAGGTGTTCTCAGGATGCAAGGGAAAATGGCAAAAATGGGTGCCTTCTCCTTTTTGACAATATGATCAATCAAAAAACATTCATGAATGGAAGGAATCCTTCCATTAGTGGAAGGTTACATTTATATATAATTCAAACATTTTTATTCAAGAATGCTTAAATTCTCTAAAGTTTTATGCAAAATGTCACTTGGTTAAAATTGGAATCTAAAATAGAGTTTTTCCATTAACGTACATATCATTTCCATCTTTCCTCTGACTTACCCTGGATGCTGACAGGGTGAATAACTCATCTTCCTCATGAATCTCCCTCTATGGGACTTTCCCAACTTGCTACTTGAGATGCAGCCTCTTACTTCATTCTGAGCAAGTGGCTGTCAATGATCTGAGGAGGAGGTAAGAACCTGCACTTCAGGAAAGTCAGTGACTCACCTGTGTAAATGCCATTGCCTACAGGTTTCTTAGTATCCCCTGAATGTTCTTCACACTGGATTAAGCCCCCCCATGGCTGACTTATATGCTTTCCCACTAGTCCCTGCAGGATCTGAAGTGGCACACCTATACAGAAAATTCAAAGCATTAGATGGAGGTGATGCTCTGGCCAACAGATCACAACACAAAAGAGGACTGCTCACTGTTACATGCCACTGTGCTTGCTGATTTTTTAGTTGCTGTTGGAACTTGGACTTTATGTAGATATATTGGCCAGGTAAATGTGAAAGTGTGTGTGTGTATACACTGCTGTGCTGCGCTTCACACACAAGTGATGGGAACACTATGAAATTGGTAATGCCAGTGCAATGTTGGTTTGACAGATGTGAGTGTGCATGCTATACATGCTCAGTTGTGTCCTGTTGCTGTTAAGATTCAGAATACCTTTAAAAATGAAGCAAGTTTCAATTTTTGGGAGGCACCCTGATAGCTTCATATGAACAGGATACAAGAGAATGCAGAATATATGTATTTACCTAACCTCAGCATTTTTGACTTCTCTTTATACTGACTAGGATTTTGAATCTGTCTCTTATAGCAGCTGATATGGAGCTTTCAGCAAATTTAAAAATATAAAGAGGACTCTATATTCATTTGGTTGGCGTGTTGAAGTTATGCTGTGTATGCGCTCTGTGCATTCTCTTGAGGTCAGCATGAACAGAGTTCTACTGATTAGCTGTATTGGTTTGATTACTGACTTATGTGGAAGACCCTGGCTTCTGCATTTTTTTTGATGAGCTGGTGTTTATTTAAATGCTTTTCTTGACTCAAATGAGCAAAACAGGTTTATTTTGTTTTGTTGTTGCAATATGAATAAACATTCCTGCAACTAAGCATCCTCCTCCTACTGATATTACTATTTGTAAACAACACAGCCATCCCTGCACTGTGTTTGGAAACATGTGCCTGGTACCTCCCTGGCTAGGATGTATGGTCAAGCTGGGAGGCGTTAACAGTTAGGTGAAGAATGCTGAGGAAGGAATTAGCTATTTCTTCTTCATGTTGGATGCCACACTTGATCCTGATCTATTGTTTAATATTTATATAAATTCAAAGGTTGCTCCTTTTACCAGAAAAGAATATTACCAGTCTAAGCTCAGGGACAGATATTTGGTAATGCTGCTGTATGCTGACGATGTAGCAATCCTCTTGCTTATGTAGTTGGGCCTCAGGAGAAGTTTGCAAGCTTTAGCAGAATTCGGTAAGGAGGAAGGGCTTACATTTAATTCCTCCAAGACTAAAATTATGTTTTTTTCAGGAAGACCTAGTTGCCATAAACCTCAATGGCGCCTAGGAACTAACAAAATAGAACAAGTTCCAGCTTTTAAATATCATGGAGTAATCTTTCAAGCCTCTGGAATCCGGAGTAATCTCTGCCAAAGCCAACAATAGTGCCAAGGCAATCCTGGGCTTTTTTCACTCAAAGGGAGGTAAACACATATTTGCTGCCATTAAGCTGTTTAAAGTTAAATCTATATCCCAAATGTCGTATGGCATATAGATATGCACCTACAAAGATCTAAAGCTCTTTTATACTGTTCAGTCTAAGTTTCTGCAAGCAGGTCCCAAGCTGTCTCCCAAATGTTTTAATTCATAAGGAAACAGTAATGATTCCACTAGAGGCAAGAGTCCGTGTTTGTCATCTCTCTTATTGCTGAAACTCTTATTTTCTGATGGCCCACTGGCCTCACTAATTCTTCTTGATAACTCTGCATCAAGATGGAAAGTAAAAATCATAGCTGACTTGCTTTAGTGGCATTTTCATCCATTCTCTGCTACCTCTAGGTCTAGAGTAAGCCAAAGAGTCTTCAGTATTGCACGTCAGACAGACTTGAGTGCTAAAGGCAATCTACATGGGTGGGTTCCTCCTTGGAAACCTTTTAGACCTGCAAACTATCTGTTCAGTCTGGTTTGTTCAGCCTACTATAGAGCCTTCTTTCTGGCCCACTCTGATGTTCTACCCTCAACAGTATTGGATAGGTGGTTTCACGAAATTCCATTTCATGACAGAAATTGCCCTGTGGCCAGAATGAATCTGAGACCTTAGCGCATGCATTCCTGCACTGTTCCTTTTATGAGAACTTATGTGCTGATCTCCTTGTAGAGATCAAGCTTCTAATGAAGGAGAAGTGGTTGAGTTCCTACTGTCAGACTGGAACCCCATTATTACAAACAGAGTTGCCAAGTTCTTCTTGGCAGCTATTGCCATAAGAAGGCTTAAGATGTCCTAATCTTGGAACAATATAATGAGAAAGCTCTTTTATTCTTTCATTTACATTTATTGTTATTTTATCTACTTTGTCCTGCTGTTGTTTTGTTTTGTTTTGCTTATTTTCTAAAAGGTAAATTTTAACTGGCAGGTCCTTAGGGTTTTATTGCATTTGAGACTTCTTTCAGGTGTTGTTTTGTTTAGTGTTGTAACTACTTTGCTGGTCACTGACCATAAATAAATAAGCTTAAAT